CTCACTGTAAAACCACTGCAAGTTACTTTTAAGACACAATAAATAAATGTCTCGTGATAAGTTCGCACCTTGAATCTGCTACAGTACATTTTCCTCTGTAGTGACACAGCTCAGACGAAGCTTACACTGACCTAACAGTTGCACTGAGGTTTTTATTTTTAACTTTTCTTTTTTTTTAAATGTAAGAGTGTTTTATTAAAAAAACCCTCAACACAAACCCACAAGAGCTGCCCTAATTAGCTGGGAGCACAGCTCACTAATGGTCAGACCTTTAAAAAGAGGCTTGCATGCATTGTTCCTGCCTGTGCTCTTCACTGCAGCCTGTGCGCTGAGAGAGTGGCATTATATTCATAAACATTTCCATCAGCCGTGCTGCTCCGACACTTCTCAGGCTGTTTGAGTGCTCCGAGTTCTTTAGCAACGGTAATATGAACTGAAAAAGTGACACTGAGTGTTCCCTGCTCGGTGCTCACTGTTATTAAAGCCCCGCAGGACACTCAATTGTTCCACAGGTAAAAGTGTGTCCTTTTGAACTGTTGTTCTTCTTAGCAGCGGCTTAATGCACTTACAGGTCCTCCACGGATTTTTAAAAACCGCTGAAAGAGTAAGAGTGTCGAGGAAAAACTGACCCCTCCCTGTTTTTCAAAGGAAATAAATATTCATATTGGGCTGGCACAATTATTAACCTAACTGGTGGAAAATGTTTACAGTAATGATATTAATAGATGGATTTGTTAAGGCTTACTTTCTGACAGTATATACACTGAATGATTAATCCTTGATTCATTAACTACCATTTAAAATGTCTTATATATATCTGCCTTAATAATGTGAAATTGTCAAATGCCTGCAGACTTTACAGAAGTGTGTAAAGTCCACAGAAACACACACAGCCTCCATCTCTAACCCTCATATCAGTGCGAGTGATGAAGCCTTTTCCCTCCACATCACAGGTCTGGAAGAACTCCTTGGTCTTGTCCAGCAGGGCAATGCAACCCCAGTCAGAGCCCCTCCTCTCTGGGCTCCGTCCAAAGCCATTCACCCCGTCCTCCTCCTCCTCCATGCTTGGCTGTGTCTCTTTTATCGTTATATATTTATTATTTTATGGACACTGTTGGGTGGTAGGTTGCATGTACTTTGAAGTTTTCTTCATTAGCCCTATATTCAGTCCTCTGGGCCTCCTAGAGTCACCATGACAACAGAGGCAGGAAGTAGCACCAGATGATGAGATCACTGATAACTTGGTGGCTTACAGACAGACTTAAACCTGGTTGCAGGTTCCTGTAAGACAGACAAAGAACTGTACTCAATTAAAAAAATTACGTGAAGGCAAGTTTAAGAAAACTAAAGTGGTTACACAAATAGCAGAGCACTACAGCTAAACTGCACTTCCCTTTTCTAGTAAGCCACTGACAAAGGTATGTAAATACACAGTAAAGGATTATCTTAATACTCCACCATACAGAACACATGACGGCACAATGCCTGCAAGACTGCTGCAAGCAGCAGATGAATTAATGTGTCCCCCTATGTGTTTTCCTCGCGCCTTTGTTTTGAGGTGCTGTCTTGTTTGCACTGCTCCGAGCTGGAGCGCAGTTTATGCTGTCAGGAATTCTAAATCTGCAGCAAACACTGCTGAAAGTGAAATATCAGAGGCATTTTTATTTAGTAACTATTGATATCTATGGCTAGCTAGTTTATTGTGATGGTGCTTTGTTTTCTCTATTATTATGTTGCTCTTTGTTGTTTGCTGTCTCCTCTGTTTGTTTTTTTTGTTTGTTTTTTTTTTCTCCATACAGGTGACCCAGGAGTTCTTTTTTTTTTTTTTTCTCTCTCTCTCTCTTCCCCCCCCTTCTCACCGTCTCTTCTCCCCTTTGGTTTTCTTTCTTTCTCTCCCCCTCTTTCTCTCATTCATTCCCCCTGTCCTATTTATTAAAAAAAAAAAAAAAAAAAAAAAAAAAAAAAGACAAAGGATGAACTGAAGCTCTGCCATCACGTAATGTCGCATACTGCTGTTTCTGATGTCATTTAAAAAAAAAAAAAAAAAAAAAAAAAAAAAAAGAAATATCAGAGGCAGGTGTTGGATTGTCAAGTCTTGAATTTGGATTTTTCCTGAAGGCTGTTTAATTAGTGCAAATTTTAACTTGGCTACAAACTAAGTGAGTACATACTACTAAGCAGCACTGCCACCTACTTTGTAAAGACAAAGACACTTAAACAATGTAAGTAAATTTCTGGGCCTTCCTCTGCAGCATATACAAAACTCTTGGCGAATTCTTTCTTTCCTCAGCTTTTGTATCTACAAGTTGCACAGGTTTGCATTTGTCCCTTTTTTCTTTAAATAAGTCAGAAACGGAAGGAAAGCTCTTACCTTCTACAAATGACGAGCACAACAAACTGAAACCTTTTGTATCCGCTCTCAGTATTAACAGAGCTGTGACCGCACTGTGTTTAGGAAGTCTTGCCTCACAGACGAGTGTTAGGCAAGTCATTCTGCAACCATGTGATGTCATGAGGAGGCAGCCTGAGGCTTTTCAGCCTGGGTCCACCCGCTGCTCTCACACTGAGATGGGGCTGCAGAGTGAGCTTACTCTATGCAGGCTACATGTGTGCAACATGTTTATGTAGTGTGTAATTAAGACAGCAGCATAATGAAGGCTGTCAGCGGGATGAGTGTTATTGTGTTTTTGGAGGTTTACTTGGAAATAAAAGCTAAACTTGTTGACTACCAGAAAATTGGCCAAAAGAAAGTTGTATTTATGGTTTATTTCAAAATAAAAGCACATTATTGGAAATTATATATTTATTTATTTTTAAAAATAAAAGCATGCTCTGTCCTCACTTCATTTCTTATGATGCCATCTTGTGGTTGGACAGTACAATGACTTTCAGTGGTCAGAGCAAAAAATACTGTGAAATCACAATATATATCTCAAAGTAATTTATGGTCAAAACAACCACAAGTTTCCACTTTGATTTTGCACAGAAAATCGCAGCCTTGATTCAGCCTATGAGGTTTTAAGTAAAGTCCTCTACTGGCATTCAGTTCTGAGGAGGAGTCATTTCCCACTTCCTTGTATCTTCTGAAGTAAATATTCCATTTGGAGGTTTAGATTTGGCTGTCCTTTCTTGGTCTTCTTGTTTAGGATCTGGAATGTCTCCATCTTTTTCTGTTTGTACTTCTGGATGGCCTCTTCTTTCTGTTGCTTGTTCTTCAAGTACTCCTAAAAACAGCAAACACACAGGCTGTTGTTTAAAAACTTTTTTCATTAAAAAAAATGAAAGACTGTGATCTTATTTTTCTTTTACTTAGTCAAACACATTACCTCTTTCTTCTTTCTCCGCTTCTCTTGGATCCTCTCAAATTCTTCTTTTGTCTTCTGGTAAGAGTTTTTCCTCTCCATTTTTTTCCTCATGCGATTGCTCATTGGAAGACTGGTGGAAACAAGCAAACATTTTTTTTTAAACCCAACATTATAAAAGCTGACTTTGTCTATGCATTCTCCACCCTCTCTTGTTTTAAGTGTTGTGTAAAAGTTGTGAGCCACCCCTCATTTCCTTATAGGACACAATGCATACCATGCTGAGATATGCCAGGTTTTCAGTTAGTAGCTCTTTGGGAATCAAACTGTTTTATCTTTGGCATTTTTTTTTAGGTTCAACTAAAGAACAAATTAGTTTTTGCAACAAACTGCTAGCAACAAAGTGATTCAGTGTAGCCCCAACACTGTTCCATCCTTTGTACAAGGTGTGTTTTCTATGCTTCAGTGATTCGTACGTCATTGCTGAGTGGCTGAACAAGCAAGGAAGTGATCAAAAAAGCAGTCAATGCTCCTTGAAAGCTAAATATAAAGTAATGAGGATTGCTTCATGATTTTGGCACAGTTCTGTATGTCTGCACAGACTTGCTCACCTTTCGCTCTGTGAAGCTGATGTTGGCTCAGCTTGGTTCCCGGACACTGACTCTTTCAGCTCAGATCCCCCACTAACTTCTCCTTCACCAGCTGCCTCGGTCTGCTGTGCCTCATCATCATCCTCTTCCTCTCCATCACCTTCCCCCATCTCTTTCGTCTGCCCTTTCATCCTCAGCTTACTCCTGTTCACTCTGTTTGTCCAGGCTTCTTTCTTCAGTTTCTCTGCCTCAGCCTCGTACAGATGCCTGAGGTGTTCTGGATACTCTTCTTTGTACAGGTTTTTGGACCCTGGGTTCTTCTTCTTCTCCTTTCGCAGCAGTTTGTTGTATTCATGTTTGACTTTCTGCTTCCTGTTGAAAGCAAATCCTTGACCTGAAGAGTTAAGTCAGAGATTTTAAATACAGGCAAATCAAACCATTTAAAAAAAAAAAATCAGATTCAGTGTCATTACTTATCTAGACTATGCTCATGCTCTTGTGTTGACAGTCGTTTGAATTAACCCAACACGGATTAAGTTCTGATTTTAATATGAATTCCTATGTTATTTAAAGATAGAGACTGTGTCGTTTTTACGTGTACGTTCAGCCTTATTGTACCTTCTTTTACGCTGCCTTTGAATAATTTCTGATCGGAGATCCATTTTCTTTTCTTTTTGACACCCTTCGCGCCACTTTTTTTTTTCGCCAAGTCGCCCTCTTTCCCTGCAAACTTCTCATTCTTCGTTTTTTGATCTGTTGGTGCCATGTGTGTTCAGTCTCTTCGGGAAAACTCAAATGTTTACAACCTCCTCGTCGACTTCAGCTAGCATGCCGTTTCGTTACAGACGCTGTGTGATGACGTCAACAAGACAAGACTTGATAAATCGATTGCGGAAGGCCCTATTTCAAAATGTTCCTTGTTGAAATTCCTTGTTATAAATTCATGCTGTAGTGAACAGGTATAAAAGGAGGCTTCAGTTAAATTTTTTTAATAGTTTTTGAACAACTTATCAATAACAATGTGAGTTTTATTATTTTTTTCTTGTCGGACTTCCAAGTATGTTGGTTTTTGATGAAGTGTAAACGCCCTGTTACACTGTGTAAACTCGCCTTGTATGTATGTAAAGCTTATATTATTGAAAAATAAAAAACAGATCAGTAAATTCATCGAACCGTTTTTTCTACTGCCAATGTCTAGGCGTACACCAGAAGTGGGACGTTTGCGTGCTTGCCCAGCTCCTCTTCGTTTTATTAATTAACATGAAATCCTCCTCATGCAGCCTCACAGAAATTCAGCAACGGATAGACGAAGTCACTCGGTTTCTATCTATAACTCTTAATATTGCTAATGCCCACACAGTGGAGTTTTACACTCAAGACGTGTGGAAACGGTTCGTGGCCGTATCACCGGAGGACGTCCTGTCAGCTGTAGGTTCCGGTAATCACCAGCAGAGGGAGCCACAGCACAGGCAAAGTGGTAAGCTAGTTCCAACCAAACAAGAGAGCGAAGGGCTTTTCTTTTCTTTTCTTTTATTGTCTAATATGGAAGCTTGTTTCCTGGAAAAATGTCAGAGAGACCTAATTTCTTAAAAAAATTTGAGATAACAACCCCAAACATTGACTTATGGATGGCAAAAAATAAAATAAATAAATAAACTTTTGGAAACATTCTTCCATGTTTAGGAACAAGGAGTAACCTAATACTAATGATATATATATTTTTAAAGTGTTGATTTTACTTAGACTTGAAGTTGTTAGTTACTTTTGAAACAAGGTAATTATCAGCCCAAATGTGTGTGGATCATATCGCATCTGAAAAGGGACTGCAGATGTTCTGGACCAAAATCTATGTTAGTATCAGCTTATTAAAGATTTGATCCCCAGTATTTATAAATTAATATAAATTATCAAGGCATAAAAGCAAAACTATTTATACATGGACCGAAACTGTGAATTTTAAAGTATATTCTATGTGGACTTTATGTTACAGATATCCCATATCTGTCTCCCTAAACAGAGCAGCCCAGCACCACATTTGGGTTTTGCAATGATACAAAGCGACTGGTTGGCACCCAGGAACTTGTGCAGGCAGCTAAAGAGCACTCTCTTCCCAGCCTTGGACTCTGCATGAGCCGGGAGAATCTACTGCAGGACCTCAGGGACATGAAGTCCGACTCTGGTACTCCAGAGGAGACAGGTAGGGAAGGATTGTTTCCCACTGAGAACAGGAAGCAATCCAGGATTGTCCTGTTCAAATCACAACCATAATTTTTGAACCTATGTGGTGTCAATTTTGGGGAAACTGTGACATTTCTTTCCACTGACCTTTTTTTTTTTAATATAGTGGCTGCTTTTGAGTCAGATGAGTTTATGACTTCTAAGAAATCCCATGAAGTCCAGTCCATGTCTGAGGTGGTGGCCTGCCTGGCTCAGCACTGTGGGGTTAATCAGGTAGGGCAACATTTTTATAGGTACAGGCAATATCCTAAAGGTATATACTGTAAAAAAGAAATCTGTAAAAACCACTGAACAGCTCTTAACATGTACTGTTTTTGTTTTTTAACTTGACATGCAGGTGATAGATGTAGGCTCAGGGAAGGGCTACTTGAGCTCCTTCCTCTCTCTTCAGTATGCCCTTCGGGTGTATGGCATTGACTCCTCTAGCACCAACACCCACGGTGCTCAGGAGAGGAACAGGAAGCTAAAGAAGTTCTCGAAAGCATACCAGAAACACACCAAAGCAGCAAGGACGCAATCAGAGGCCACACATTCTCCTCAGGAGGAGTTAATAGAAAGAAAAACTGGGCTGAATGGAGACGAAGATGTTTTCTCTGGTAATGGGCCAAGAATTCGGTCACAAGAGGAGGAGAGGGTGTTAACAAGCTCATCAGACATCAACCCCACAGTGGAAGGACGTTCAGAGCAAAACCTAGAAACAGACGAGCTCTTCCTGAGTGCTTTATCCGTGGATGTAATACAGCCTGCTTCCCCCAGAGTTCCCCCAAGTCAACTCAGTGCTGAGGAGAGAGAGAGGAGGAAGAGAGAGAACCTGGAGAGGAAAGCTCAGAGCAGGGCAGACAGCACTGGAGCCGTGTTTTCACCTCTCACATCTTACGTTACTGCAGAAACAGAGCTCCGAGACCTCATCAATGAGCTGGAGGTGAGCAAACCCAAAGCCAAAAGTAAATGTTTAATAATATATGTAAAAAAAGAAAAGCTTCTTATATATTCAGCCAGCTGTAGAGCATAGTAGCATAGCTTGATTCCCATAGCAACTCCTAGAATTACAAGTGTGTCACAGCAGCTGGAGTTTGCATTACTGGAGTGAGTCTGGGATGTGACTGCGGTGCCAAATCTGCAGCGCGTCATCATCAATAAATTTTACCATCGATCTCTACTACTCCCCCTACTTGCTTCCACCTCCTTTTCTGTTCTCTCCCATCTCTGTGTGATTTGTCCAAAACCCAGGATGCAGTCATGGTTGGCCTGCACACTTGTGGCGACTTGGCTCCCAGCACGCTGAGGATGTTTGTGGCTAAACCGGAGCTAGCCGCAGTCTGCAGTGTGGGCTGCTGCTATCACCTGCTGTCTGAGGAGTTTGACCATGCCGGACAGAGTAAACAAACACACACACACACACACACACACACACACACACACACACACACACACACACACACACACACACACACACACACACACACACACACACACAATTAGAGGTGTAAATCGCTTCCAGGAGTCAGGAGGTGTGTTTCTATCTGTCTCTGTTTGAGTTGAAAAACTGTAACTGTACACACACACACAGCCTGTGGTTTCTCATGTGCTGTTTATGTCTATTTCTCTCCCTCCTTATTTTCACTGACACTTCTCCCATAGTCCAATCTCAGACACCTGCACTTCATCAATCTGCTCTTATCAGAAATGTAATCTTATATTCCCACAAAGAGTCACATAAACACTTAAACCGAGCCACCACAACATTAAAACCACCTGCCAGATATTGTGTTGGTCCCGCTTGTGAGCACTGACCCGTAGACACAGATCTGTGATGTTCTGCGGTGTCTGTCACCAGGGCTTTGGCAGCTGAGTCTTTGGGTCCTGTGGGCTGTGGGGTGGAGACTGCTTAGATCAAGCCTTGAATCTTCCAAGTCCCAGTCAGTGCAGTGGTGCTGGATTCAGTCCTGTAAGGTTCAGTGTGAACCACTATAGTCAGAGAAGGATTATCCTCTGTATTTTTCCCATGTAGAGATCTTTAGGGTTTACAGAGAATGGTCAGAGCAGTAGAAGATATCCAATGAGCAGCAGCTGGCTGGGCAAAAATTATTTGTCAGGGGAGAATGGCCAGGCTGTTTTGGGCTGATAGAAAAATAACTAAATTAGCCACTCGTAAAAACCAAAGTATGCAGAAGAGCATCTCTAAAAATACAACAAGTCAAACCTTGAGGCATATGGGCTACAGCACCTTTGCAGCAACTGTAGGTAGACTCAGTCAGGTTGAATGGTGTGCTTTATACAGTGGGGCAAAAAAGTATTTAGTCAGCCACCGATTGTGCAAGTTCCCCCACCTAAAATGATGACAGAGGTCAGTAATTTGCACCAGAGGTACACTTCAACTGTGAGAGACAGAATGTGGAAAAAAAAAATCCATGAATCCACATGGTAGGATTTGTAAAGAATTTATTCGTAAATCAGGGTGGAAAATAAGTATTTGGTCAATAACAAAAATACAACTCAATACTTTGTAACATAACCTTTGTTGGCAATAACAGAGGTCAAACGTTTACTATAGGTCTTTACCAGGTTTGCACACACAGTAGCTGGTATTTTGGCCCATTCCTCCATGCAGATCTTCTCGAGAGCAGTGATGTTTTGGGGCTGTCGCCGAGCAAAACGGACTTTTAACTCCCGCCACAGATTTTCTATGGGGTTGAGGTCTGGAGACTGGCTAGGCCACTCCAGGACTTTCAAATGCTTCTTACGGAGCCACTCCTTTGTTGCCCGGGCGGTGTGTTTTGGATCATTGTCATGTTGGAAGACCCAGCCTCGTTTCATCTTCAAAGTTCTCACTGATGGAAGGAGGTTTTGGCTCAAAATCTCACGATACATGGCCCCATTCATTCTGTCCTTAACACGGATCAGTCGTCCTGTCCCCTTGGCAGAAAAACAGCCCCATAGCATGATGTTTCCACCCCCATGCTTCACAGTAGGTATGGTGTTCTTGGGATGCAACTCAGTATTCTTCTTCCTCCAAACACGACGAGTTGAGTTTATACCAAAAAGTTCTACTTTGGTTTCATCTGACCACATGACATTCTCCCAATCCTCTGCTGTATCATCCATGTGCTCTCTGGCAAACTTCAGACGGGCCTGGACATGCACTGGCTTCAGCAGCGGAACACGTCTGGCACTGCGGGATTTGATTCCCTGCCGTTGTAGTGTGTTACTGATGGTGACCTTTGTTACTTTGGTCCCAGCTCTCTGCAGGTCATTCACCAGGTCCCCCCGTGTGGTTCTGGGATCTTTGCTCACCGTTCTCATGATCATTTTGACCCCACGGGATGAGATCTTGCGTGGAGCCCCAGATCGAGGGAGATTATCAGTGGTCTTGTATGTCTTCCATTTTCTGATGATTGCTCCCACAGTTGATTTTTTCACACCAAGCTGCTTGCCTATTGTAGATTCACTCTTCCCAGTCTGGTGCAGGTCTACAATACTTTTCCTGGTGTCCTTCGAAAGCTCTTTGGTCTTGGCCATGGCGGAGTTTGGAGTCTGACTGTTTGAGGCTGTGGACAGGTGTCTTTTATACAGATGATGAGTTCAAACAGGTGCCATTCATACAGGTAACGAGTGGGGGACAGAAAAGCTTCTTACAGAAGACGTTACAGGTCTGTGAGAGCCAGAGATTTTCCTTGTTTGAGGTGACCAAATACTTATTTTCCACCCTAATTTACGAATAAATTCTTTACAAATCCTACCATGTGAATTCATGGATTTTTTTTTTTCACATTCTGTCTCTCACAGTTGAAGTGTACCTCTGGTGCAAATTACTGACCTCTGTCATCATTTTAAGTGGGGGAACTTGCACAATCGGTGGCTGACTAAATACTTTTTTGCCCCACTGTATGACATTTGCAGATTGGATCCAAGAGTCCTCCGTGTCATGTCTGAGCTAACTATTTATTTAATTTTCCATAGCTGGGACATGCCCAGCCACACTGCAATGTTGTGGCTGATTAGTGCATATTCCTACTTTTTAGTAAACAAGTCCAATATTCCACTGAGAATTCTGAGACTCGGCCTAGTTACCCTTCTGGAGATTGAGTTAAGCTCTGACGCCTACTGTTACAGTCATTAGACTGGATTTATGGATTTAAAATGGCTGTTGAAGGCTGCTGAAAATGAGAATATTTGACCCTTGTATTTAAAAACAGAATCTATTAGAAGGAATTGATTCTGCAGCCAGCGTGAAGTATTCTGTGTTTACGGTGTCGTAGTTAGCCCCGAGTTTCACACCGTAGAGGCTGTTTATCATTGTCTGCTGCTGCCCTAGCTTGACAGCAACGCAGGTGCCAGAATGCAGGCTGATATCATCCCTGTCTCATATATTCCTCCACTCCAGAGTTTATGAGGTATGAAATTGTCTACATGTGTCCTCGTGCTTTGTCTGTAGCCTCTGCACGTCTGCAGGAAAAGAGGCCTCGCTGCTGTCGATACAGCACCACGTCATCTCTTGTTAACAGTGCGACCCTCGACACTTGAGAGTGGAAAATGCTATCATGACAGCTGATTGAAAACACTCTTTTCCACACTTGTTTCTCGATCATTTAAGGAAAGGAACAAAGGCGTTCGCTCACACACGCACAGTTTCACTCCCCTGTTGGCCTTACAGTGCAGTCTGGGCTGCAGGCCAGCTCCTGTGGTGGCCTGCTTCAGCCCAAAAAAGGATCCAAAGGCCTGAAAGCTTCGTTGGAGAAGGACGTTATACATTTATGTGATCGGCTCATTTAGAATTCAAGGATTTCCTGAAGTGCAGCATCCACATCTAGTACTGTAAACTTTCTATATACTCACAACAGCAAAAACGACTCCAAGACGAGTACAGCTTTTGAGTGTACATGTCCGGTCACGCACTAGAATATCAGAAATATTTATCTGACCACTTCAGAACGAGCTCTGTGACCAACACAAGCAAAGCTACTATAAACAGCTCTGTGCACATAATGTACTGAAATCCACCCTTCAGATGTCACAAAGCCTCGTCCACTTCAGTTGCTTCTAAGGGCCTGTGTTGGCGGCCATGTGCCAGGCAGACGTGAAGCTAACCTGACTGCTAATATGCCCCCGTGTCCAGAGCAGTTTGTGAAAGCCTGACCATCCTCAGCTGCACATGTTATTAGTGCTTCCTTTGACTGTACTCCCACTGGATTCGCTGTGCCTTGGCCTCAGTCTTCCAACCTTTTTAAAGGGACATGAAAAGGATGGCATGCTGTCAACACTCGCCACCCTCCCACTGGGAATCAGGGTTTTTGAGTACTAAGAACTCCTGCGGTTAGAAAAATGGGGCTCAAATTGCTATTTTTCCACACAATAATTAGAGGTTAGCCGTACTGACTATTTAGGGGGTAACATATGAATTTGCTTGCATTAAAAGAGAAGTTTGAAGTTCTTTTGGGTGATTTTCTGCTGAGAGTTAGATTAGCTTAGCACAAAATGATTAAAAATTAGGAGGCTGATGGTCTTAGCTCCTCAAAGGTAACGAAACACTCTATCAGCATCTATAAAGCAAAATAATTACGCTAGGTGAAATTTGCTAAACTGTACAAAACCTCAGGATTGAATCAATGTTATTTTTAGGCTAGGCTTGCTTTCCCCAAGGTTTATCTTTTGTGCTAAGCTAAACTAAATTCCTGCTGGCTGTGTCTTCGGATTTAATTTAACACTAACTAATAGGTCATTTGAATCCACTCCCCTGGGATGTTCTAAGGCAATCACTGCAAAAAACAACAAAAAAAGTTCGGTACTTTTGCTATCTTGATGTTTCTCTTGCAAATATTTGAAATAGATGAAAACAGCATGAAAAATCCCACTGGTCAACTAAACTGATTAATCAGTTGACTCATATTCCTGTGTGTCCTCTCACAGAGTGTTTACAGAGTGTGTGTGGTTTCCCTCTGAGTCAGTACCTCCGTGACCAATCCTGCTTTTGTGGCAGAAATGCCAGGATGTCAGCATGTTTGGTAAGTTTCTCATGTGTTTTTTTTTTTTTCTTTTTTCATGGCTGCATACAAAAAGCCCCCCAAACAAACAAAAAAAACTATTAGCTGACAGTAGAACTTTACACTGATGAACTCAAGAGTCTGACCGTCAGTGGATGAATCACATACTGTTCATGTTTTCATAACCCTTGGTGCATACTGAGGTCTGATGGATACAGTCAACTGTATTTATACTGTTGCTTCCAGTGTATATAATTTTGCTTCTGTAACCAACCACAGTGGATTTGAAATGAAGTAGTGAAGCTGTGATTGAAGTGCAGACCTGCAGCTTTATTACAAGCGGTTTAAAAAACGTTGCATGGCAAATTACACCCATTTGTTATAAAGCCTTTCCATTTTCACAGGCTCAGAAGAAACTGTCCCCCCACCACCACACACACACACACACACACACACACACACACATTCACTTGAACAGCATGCTCGGATGCATTGAGGTCACTTGTCTGAATTGGATATTTAGGAACATTACATTTGTTCGCCTTACAAATCTCTGGGGCTGCTTGCACAGCATCATCCATCGTGGCCCTATTTTTATGCTGCAGATCTGAGCACCTTGGCCGGGAGTCCATTGATTAGCCACTTATTAATCGTCACACAGTTGCTTAAAGACAGACTCCCCAAGGATTATAGTTGGAAGCCAGAAATCTTCTCGTATCAAGGTCATGTCTCTCTCCTCTGTGACCAGTCCAGATATGTGTTCGTAGAAAAAACATCATCACCAGATCCTACATCCACCAACGCATCACTGCGGTTTTGACAGACACTTTGGTATTTTTTGTGTCAGTGGTTTCCCAATAGTGTGCACATTGAGGCAAGTCTGGGTGTGCCCTGATCCAGGTGTGCTTTGGTATTTTTGTACAACCATTGAATTGTTATTGCAAACATATAACTGTTCTATGTGCACTGCAAGGGTCTGTTTCAGAATCAGAAGCCAAACAACTCTTCTGAAAGAAACTTGGCCTACCTTAAAAGAGCACTGGATTCATACCAAAGGCTGACAAGTTAACAGAGGCAAAGTATTGTTGAGTGGTGACAACTCTGCAATAGATTACAAATGGCACGGGCTGTCAAAGAGTGTTATTCTGAAAAGCAAAAAGGGAGAACTCTTTGGGTGACAAAGATTGTTTTGCATAGATACTCCGTAGTTGTGGCTTGCTCGCAAAGAGTTTGAAAACTAATACTTTGGACCATCAGCCCTTTCATTCTGGCCCAAGGTAAAAGTTTTTTTCTTCACCAAGGAAATACCAAGAATTCTTCAATCATCAAGAAATTTCTTGCCTTCCTTGGGTAAATGTCTGTGTTATCCATGTTGCTGAACTTTCCGGTGCATCCCTTCTTTCCAAGAACCTGCAAAATTGAACTGGCAACCCAAGAGTTTCCACTATCTTTCCAATAGATCTCTTTTGTTTTTCACCCTAGCGATGGCATTCTTCATGTGCGCTGACACATCTTTCCATGTCTGTAATATTGAGAGTTCCCATGAGCAGCTACCAAATTCAACTTCAATATGTGGCGTTTTACAGAAGCAAAAATGTACCACTGTTCAAATACTTATGTACCTAATATACTAGACCAGGGGTGGGGGAACTCCAGGCCTAAAGGGCCGGTGTCCTGTAGGTTTTAGAGGTGTCCTTGATCCAAGAGAGCTGATTTATATGGCTAAATGACCTTCTCAACATGTCTCGAAGTTCTCCAGAGGCCTGGTAATGAACTAATCATTTGATTCAGGTGTGTTGACCCAGGGTGACATATAAAACCTGCAGGACACCGGCCCTTGAAGCCTGGAGTTCCCCACCCCTGGACTAGACAATAGGCTCAGAAGTCTTGTAGAGTCCATCTGCTGTTCTGGCAGCACACAAAGGACCAAGACTATATTAGACAAGGGTGATCATAATGTTTTGGCTCATTAGTATAACCAGAGCATCAGAAATGTTTTTTTTTCTTTGCTCCTACAGCTCACTTTTTTTCCAGGAAAGTCTTTGTCTTAACACTTTCCCATTTGTCTCAAACAGGCACTGGAAAGAGTTGCACTTGGCCAAGGGGTAAGTAAGGCGTGCATACTAACTGTAATCAATATCATAGACAAATAGCCATCATTGCAAAAGAATGGAAGCTCTTTCTGTAAACTGTCATTACGCTCATCAAAACAAATACATCAAATGATTTCAAATCACAAGTGCGGGCTTTCACAATCACCCAGGACCGTATTATCTTCATTGCTGATCTCCGGCATGCATTCAAACAATCAGCCCATTAATTCTGCTATTGTTTTAAGTCTGTGATTGACTACAGTGTATTTATTTGAAATGCAGAGCTTGGAGGCTCCAGGCCAAAGCTGATACATGACACCCGCTGCCATTAATATGGAATGTTTATAAATATTAATGCAATCATGGAAAGATTGATTACTGACTGGAACAGAACTCTGAATCCAAAAACAGGCTTGATTGCTTGCTAGTGTTGCACTAAGTTTGCAAAGTGTCAGAAATATTCGTCGGCCATTTGTACACATGTTTGGTGAAGGAAAAAAAAGTTTTTCACTGTAAAAGCTGAGTTATGTTAATTCAAATAAACAGCTTTGTCCTTCCCTGCAGATTCAGATGGAATCTCTGTTCTACCGAGCAGTCCTTCATGTTATTCTGAGGGACCACTACAGCTCCTATAAAAGGTAATCTACAGGAATTCACATCTGGACCAGCGGATTTCTAGTGGAGTATGAGAAATCAGGGCAAATGCATGTAATTTTTTAAGACCTTTTTTTTCCTTCCCCCTGTCAGTGTGTACAGTATCAACTATGTTTGGTTAGAATGAGTGAGAACAGAACAGGTGTCAAGCTTTGATAGCAGTCCAAAGGTTTTGTTTTATTTGTTGTGAACCAGAAGTGAAAGGTTTCTTTCTCTGGCTTGTTTAGGTTACAAATGACCCAAGACTTGCCAGCAAAAGCCATATGTACTCAATTCCTGGCCAGATTTGGGTGTATTGTTGTATCAGGCCTAATGAATAATAGACTTGAGGGTTCAAATGAGCTTGAAGTTTACATATAGGTTAGTTAGTGGACAGAAATTGAACCGACAGGAAAAAGTCTTTTGTTTCCAAGCAGGTAACCTATGGCAATTCTAGCGGCTAGAGCACAGCTACAAATGTTTTGTTCTGAAAATGTTCAAAGATCATTACCCTTCAGTGTTATAGTGATGTTTTCAGTACAGGAAACATTAAAAAAATCTGATTAATAAACCAGTTTCCTGATCTTGCAGGTATTATTTGCCAAAAAATAGGAACATTCCCTACTACATGCAGCGTGACCCCCACATAGGACAATGCTGCTTTAATCTAAATGCTAACATAAGCTATGTTATATGTTCATACTGTCTGCGCTAACACATAACATAGCTGGAAACATTCCTCAGAGATTTTGGCCCATGTTGACACGATGGTGTCACACAGTTGCTCCAGATTTGTCGGCTATACATGTGTGATATGAATCTTCTAGTCCACCACATCTCAAGGTGCTCCGATTGTTTTGAGATCTGGTGACTGTGGAGGCGATTTTAGTACAGTGAACTCAAAGTTGTGTTCAAAAAACAGTTTAAGATGATTTGAGCTTTATGATATGGCATACTATCCTGTTGTAAGCAGCCATCAGAAAGCAGGTATGCTGTGGACACGGTCAGCAACAATACACAGCTAGGCTTAGGTATTTAAATGATGCTTAGTTGGCAATAAGAGACTCAAAAAGTGCCAAGAACGTATCCCCCCCACACCATTAAACCAATGCCAGACTGAACTGCTGACACGAAGGAAGATGGATCCATGCTTTCATGTTGTTTACACTTAATTCTGACCTCACTGTTCAAATATCACAGCAGCAATTCAGACTCATCAGACCAAGTTTTCTCAGTAGCTCATGTGCTTCAAAGTTTGATGTGTTGGCATGCTCGTCTGCATACCTTGGTATTAATTAGTGGCTAGCTGGGTTATTGTTACCCAAAAGCAGCCTGGCCATTCTGTTCTGAGGTCTGGCATCAACTACATCTTCACCCAGGGAACTGCTGCTCACTGGATATTTTTCCTTTTTCAGACCATTCTCTGTAAACCCTAGAGATGGTTGTGTGGGAAAATCCCATCTCAGAGGAGGTCATCACCATGCCGTGTTCAAAGTCCCTAAAATCACCTTCCCCATTATGATGCTTGGTTTAAACTTCAACCTAAAGTCGTTGAATTATTACCTTGTTTGATTGATTAGATATTTGCGTTAAAGAGCATTTGAACTGGTGTACTTAATAAATTGTCCAAGAGTAAATACTGTTTACCATGCTTATCATCTTATTATACAGAGTTAGCATTGTAACAGTTACTGTTAGCACTAAACACAACAGTAGTTGGTCAAAAATGACAATTAAAGTGATGATGGGACTCTAATGCTAATGCAATCAAAGTCATTCCAATATATACTGATGGGAAGGTGAATGTACCAAATTTCATAGCAGTCCATTAAACAGTCTAAAGAAAGCCAGTAAAATCATTAAAATTTGTACTCTGAGAATCATTTCTATAAAACTTCAGATGCTTTTAGTTATTTCTCTTTCGACCAAAGTGGTGGCGAGACTAACTGGACATACATGCCGTAACTGACTTACTTAGATCCACAAAACTACTAGGAATAAAAAGGTGAGCCGTTGCCTACAGAGAATTTAAATAAAGGTACCAAAATATGGGCACATATATGAGAAGGCAGCGTCATAACGCACACAGAAACATGTTTAGACTGGCAGTGGTTCTTGATTATGCATTTTAAGTTAAAAATTCCTGCTAAACTCCACATCTCCTTTTTTCTTTGTGAATTTTCTAGTGTTTCTTGTGGATTTTTGGTATTTTAATGAACATTTGTACATTTTCTACATTACTAGAAATACTGTAAAAAATAGAAATTCTTAACACCATCTGGTAGCAATTAAGGCAGAATATGCAGGCATCCTTCAAGCTTCAGTTTGTCCTTAATTCACCTTGCTATCCAAAGAGTAGCTGCTGCTTTACAACCCAGCCCATTCTCACTCCATTCCCTATACTGTAAGGCCTTTCAGCCAGTGTAGTGCACATCTTTAGTGACTTATTGTATCTGCCCGACAAAGCCAAACAATAGAAGGAAATGCTGCAGACCTCAGTTTACTCTTATCAAAATATTATCACTCCAGACACCATCAAAGAGAACCTGCCTGCTGACCTTTGACCTTCATCAGATCAGCATTGAATACCCATTTGTCTTCCCCAAACACCAGCTATTCCTCATCGTTTAATCCTTAGAAACATTTGCTGAGGTGTGAGTGCATCACTGAGCAGAAACATGTTTGTTCCACAGTGAAAAGCGAGTTGGGAATGTTTACTCCAAAGCAAAGTCATTTGTGGACTACGTTCGGCGAGCTCTGCGCAGACTGGAACTGGATGAATCAAAGGTCGGGAGCAGAATATTACACTCATCTTTACACCTTCCACAAACACACAAGAAAAGAAATAAACACACTGTCCTTCTGCATTTTCAGCTACAGATTTAGGTTAGAGCTAGACTCAGTAAGTGGACCATTTCCAATCCATATTTTTACTCATGACCTCAAACAGAGAAGCGTTGCATAATTCACAATTCAAAATTATCCTTATTTGTTTTATACTGACCCTTGTTGTAGTCCCTGAGTTCATTCTCAGCTGTTTAAGCTCCTCTCTCTTTAAGGCCACCCTCCCTTTGATCCAGCTGGTCTTCTGATTGGCTGCATGGGGCCAGTCCCAACCAGCCAATCAGCAGCTGGATAGGCCCAGATGTTTTGACATCTTACAGAGCCATAAGTACAAAAAAAGACTGTCTGACAGTGGAATTATACATCTGCACCTACTGCACTGTGACCTAATGTGCAGCTCCATAGGAATCTAACTACACGTCACACTCAGTGCGGCCTCCACAGATATAAATGCTAGCAACAGCTTTAGCCACTTGTGAAGCCGACATCATAGGCTGCGTGTAGATGAGGCCTGAGCTTTTGCCTCTCAGGGATTACTTTCACATATGCTGACCTCATTATTTGAAAATTTGAGCAACAATCATTCTAACAGCATGTATGTGACAGGATATAAGTAAAAACCTAACAGGTTGATTTAGGTTAACAATAGAGTGTGTCGTATCGTATAGTATAGTATAGGATCTTAGTATAGGATCTTTCACACTGTTGAGAAGTCTGTCATCTGGTTGCTCTGGGTAACAGTGGGCGATGGCGCGCTGTCTGTCTGTCCCATGTTTCTCACAGCTCTTTAAAAACATGCTATTTCTGTCACTTGTCCCACTTCACATCTCCCTCACAGCTTGCTTCCAACTTTTTTTGTCATTCTCCTCTCTTTTACCTGCATATATAACACGTCACTCTCTCTTTAGCTCTCTGACAGCGACATCCAGGATTATCACAACACATACAGAGTGCGAATGGATGAGATGCATGCTTTTAACATGGTAAGTCTTCCATACATCTTGGTTCTCTCCCTGTCGAGCATCCTAGTATTTAATTCCCACCTTAGATTCCAACAACATGTTTAAACCCTTTTTTGTGTAAAAATCTTTTTTTTCCTGTAAAAAGAAAAAAAATTACAGACCACTAAGTGAGGTCATTGTATTCTACGGGGAAATAATGAGAGAGTGATTGCTCTGAACGAGAAGAAAACCACCCACTTTTTTCCCTCTTCTTTTCTGAGGCCACTAATTGTGATGTCAGCCAGCATACCAGTTTTCTTTCATGACACAAACCAGTAAAATAGGTTTTGGGGAATTGCGGACTACTTGGAAGACACAAGTTTTGCATATGTGTCAAATAGAGTTAAAAAAAAAAAGATATACACATGTGCTTTCTCTCATGTCGGCCTCTTTCTACAGCTGAAGGTGACCCTTGCTCCCTGTATCGAAGGTCTGATTCTCCTCGATCGCCTCTGCTATCTGAAAGAACAGGTAAAAAAAATATTTGGTGTCATCAAACTGTCAAATCCTGCTTAAATGAATTCAACTCTGATGGTGCTTCAGAACATTCACAGCACAGCTTTGGAGGATTTTTCCAATTTTCTGTCTGGGCTCATCTTTATGATTCGCTTGTTCAGCTTGTTGATTGGGATATGAAATATACTTCCCAGATGATGAAAGTGAACACACAGAAATGTCAGCTGAAATCTGGAAACCTCTCTTTGTTATTGACAGTAACATAGGTGTCGGCTAAATTGAAGCCAGCCTGCAATTTATCATCTCGTGTTCCGGCAGCCAAACACAACACGCTAATCTTTGGTCTGAGTCATAACGATGAAATGTGTATGATCGAAAAGCTTTGAAGTTCTGATTATGCGAGATTATATGTCAGATGAACCTCCTTAAATGAGAAGGGGGGGACGTAATCAAGCTCTGTAACATCAAGTGCACTGGTCAGCGTTTGGGGGATCTCCCTTGAGGTCAAGCAGAGGAAGGGGGGAAAATAGGAGATGATGGATGGATGTTAATGTGATCCATGCGGTGATAAGTGTGCAGAAGCACGTTCAGCCTTAAACAATCATGTAAGCACACAAAGATCAGGTGTTGAATTGATGTGTTTTCACTGAATTTGCAGGCCCTGATAGTAGAACAACGATGCACATATTCCAGTAAGGAGAGATCATCTGGAAGAAGAGAATGAGATTTATTACAAAAAATATGAATATGCAAATTTAGACTCAAATGAGAGGCGACATCATGGAGCAGATTCCCAGATTATGGTAGGAGATTGGTTGGACCCACAGGAGTCACATACACTGCTTGTGGAGCAGAGTAAGCAGATGGCTGCTGAGCACTTTTGGATGAGATGCCCTGGAAAACTTGGATGATGTAGAGATGGGGAGGAGGAGGGTTGCACGACGGGCGGCCTGAAAGGGAGAATTTACAGATCACTTTACAGAGCGAATTTAAAGGACTGAACAGGGGCCTGAATGGAGGCTGATTGACCCAGAGAGTGTGGGCAGATAGATTATTTTTGGATAAAAGCACAAATGGCAACATTTTCATAGAGGTGAGTTTGACAGCGTGGAAAATCGAAATCACACCGGGGCGGCGCAGCCGAGCGTGAAACGGCTGGGTTTAGAATTAGCACCTCCAAGTCTGAGGCCATGGTTCTCAGGCGGAAAAGGGTGAACTGCCCACCCTTTGTTGTGGTGGATTGTTGTCCCAAGTGCAGGAGTTTTAAGTATCTCAGGGGTCTTGTGAGGGAAGAGTGTAGCAGGACATTGACAGATGAACTGGTGTGGCACCGGCAGTCAAGTTTCAAGTTTTATTGTCATGTACAGATAAACAGTGTAGCCACATTTACCCATAATGAAATTCTTTGGCTCGAGCTCCTCAGCTTTACATGAGCATATAGAAAGTCTGCAGTTATATTAAGAAGAAAATAACAGAAAATAGCAGTAATAATAATGATAAAAGAGAAAAAAGAGAGGAAAAAAGTATTAAATATTTAGAGAATTTAAGACAAGTTGGTATTTACAGGTTGTGCAAAACTTGTGCATGAGCATTTAAGTGGCATTTGTTGAAGTGCCAGTGTGTAGAGTCCTGTAATTATAGTGAGTGTGTAATGGTGTGTATAGAATGTAAACAGTTCCAAAGCCTGATGGCTTGTGAGTAGAAACTGTCTCTGTGTCTGCTAGTGCGAGTCTGAATGCTCCCGAATTGCCTGCCGGACGGCAGGAGCGTGAAAAGTCTGTGGCTGGGGTCATGCAGAAGCTGTACCGGTCTGTTGTGGTGAAGACGGAGCTGAAAATAAAAGAGAAGCTGTTGATTTCCTGGTTGACCTGTGCTCCTAGCGCTTGTGGCCATAAGCTGGTGTCAGTGACAGAAAGGATGAGATAATGGGTACAAGTGGTGGAAATCAGCTTCCTTGCAAGAGTGGAGGGTCTCTCCCTTAGTAATGGGGTGAGGTTTTAAGTCATTTAGAACAACTTGAAGCAGAACCAGTTAAGGTGGTACAGGCATCTGACCAAGATGTGTCCTGGAGGTCTCCTATGTGTGGTGTTCTGGGCATGTCCTATTCGGAAGACCCAAGAAATCCTGCGTGGACGTGGCCAGGCAGAGGGAGGTCTGGTTGTCTCTCCTTAGACAACAACAGCAGCAACAAAGCTCTTGCTTGTGATGGTTTAATGGATGACAGTGTTAATCAGCCGCTCAGTCCCATATTTTGCATAGGGGCTGGTCAGAATTTGAATTTGTCCGTCATTGGTTTGTGACTAAACCTAGCACCACCCACCAGGCCTTCCTGTAAAATCCCCCAGCCACAGGTTTTTAATCCAGATAAGAACTCTAAAGAGTGTTCACGGGTAAAAGTTTATTGTAGAAATACTATTTTAGGGGAGGAATTCCCAAATGCCTCACAGCAAGAGGGTCTAAGATCTGAATCCTCTGTCTGGCCGGGGGCTTTCTGTGTGCTGTTTGGACATTCTCCCTTTGTTTGCATGTATTGGTGTGACTGTGAGTGTGAATGGTTGTCCTTGTTAGGCCTGCAGCAAACTGGTGACCTGTTCAGGGTCTCGCCCTAAGTGGAAGGATGACATGATCACTTGATCGTGTATGAATCATATCAGAGTTTCAGAAAAGGTGGGCGGGAGTAAGCGACACAGTATGCTTGTTTTATTGGTGTAAATGCTCCCCATCTGTAGATATGCACTTCTGTCCATGATAGCACAGTGTTAGAACTTACAACGGATATTTTTGAAGACCCCTTGGCTATGAGTTACAAACACCTGCTTTAAGATTTTTAAATGGACTGAGTACAAACATGGTTGTGGGGTGACTGCCTGAGAAATTTCTAAACACACCCTAGTCAGCACTAGATGATGACAGAGAGAGAGAGATTTCCAGCGCGCATACAACCTCTGGGTTGGCTACAGTTCTACAGCTAAACAGCTTAGCTGCCAAGGAAGACAAACTTGTTTTGCACATAAACATGAGCCCACCTGAGTGAACACTTGCACAGATATTTCTTCTCGGGGGATTCAATAGAGAATTCTTTTATAGAGGAAACATCCTTCAGCTGTAATAAAGCCCAAACTGGGAGCAGAATCAAGATTTTTATATCAGCTCTGTGTTTTTTTTTTTTTTTTTTTTTTCCTTGTATGCCAGGAGGACGTGTCATTCTCTGCACTGGTGCAACTGTTTGACCCCCTGTTGTCTCCCAGATGCTATGCTGTCATCGGACTCAAGAATGATGGGAAAAGAACTACAAGCTGAGGAACTCGAACATATGCACATAATACAATGATTCAAGGTTCATGTTTATACATGAACGAAGCAGCAATCATGCTTTGAAAGTGATTGTATTATGTATGCATTCCCAACTGTTTGTTTTAATTGCAACATTTCATCTAGTTTGAATCTTTTTTTTAATGTTATCTCGATTTGTGGAACACATGGTGTTACTTTTAAATGGAAAAGTATCTGAAATATTTCTACTTCTCTGGTCTTGGCCTTGGGTTCTTCTCAGAGATCAAACCCGTGCTCGAAACACCTGGAAAAACTGCCTTTTCTCTTTGATAGCATACTATGTATTGCATCCTTTTAACATGTTTTTAAAGACAGTTTAGGGGGTTTGAAGCATTATGGGATTTAAAGTAACCAGGTTCCCCTCAGCAGGTCTGGAAACTCAATTTCTAGAATCCCAAACCAGAGGAAGTAGAGGAAAAGACAGGGCATGTGGTGCCCTTGTCTCCAATCTTAATATTTACTTTTTTTAAATTTACCTCTGCCTCAGTTATTTAATAAATCATATTCTTTGTACATGTTTGAAAATTAATGTATGTGGGTTTTGTTTTTGTTTTTTTGTTTTTTTAGCATATAGCTCTTCTTCTGACCTTTCCCTGTAAAACCCGTAAGATGTTCGTGTGTGCAAATTGCAGTAAATCAGCAGTTTCTGAAATATTGTGACCAGCCTGTCTGACACCAGCAACCATACCACATTCAAAATCACTTAAATCACATTTCTTTCTCATTCTGATGCTCAGTTTGAACTTCAGCAGGTCATAAAGACCATGTGTATTTTTTTAGCTGCTACAGTGTGATTGGCTGATTAGATATTTGCATTAACAGGCAGTTGATCAGGTGTTCCTAACAAAATGACCAGTGAGCATATAGTTAATATGGTTACTGTAGGAATAAAACATTACATTTATGGGAAACTGTTCAGCTACCAGGTTAATGGATGACAGCTTCTTACTATATGAATATAATATTTAACTGGTTAAAATGTTAAACCCTCTGTCAAGTGCAAAACTTGACCGAAATTTAACAAACTAAAAATAACCGCTTTTGTAGTGTTAGTTTATCTAACAAGACTGCAGTTGAATAAATAAAACATAAAAGTGTTTGGAAACAATATTTTCTTCCTAAATGATGAGAATTAGTTCTGTCAAGTTGTATTCAGCTTTGTGCAAAACCGCACCACTGAGCCAGTAATGAGTATGTCAGCTGTGTGTGTGAACATTTTCATTAAAGCTAGGTAGTAAATTATGGAGCCTGAACAAACGTAGCCTGCAAGTAAGGAAATAGGCCATAGGACACTTTCCCACTGTGCAGCACTGGTGCAAAGCATTTCTTGTTTTCTCCCACTGCATCTATTTGTCACTGTAGCCACAGCAGCCTGCACATCTGTTGGCAATTCATAGGTCTGTCAACGTTGCCGTGGTGAAGCTGTGTCCTCGAGTGTTATTTTTATCTCTGTAAAGACACATGGCGAGGCTCTCTCTGCTGTGTCTGGACCGTGTTTGGATCCGGCACCGTGCTTCACACTGACAGCCTGCTGTAGTGGCCGAACTGGACTGGCACGAATACAAACAATTCAAGATGTGTACAAAGCTTGTTTAGGATATAAATATTGTCGGGTTTTGTTGCGGCGTGTGAGTCACGTCCTCTTGACCTTTCCCATCTTTGACTTCTAGCACGCATGTTTACGCAAATTCAAAAATCTCCTTTTCATGTGCCCACAAGGAAGAGGAGGAAAATGGCACGATGAAAGGCCTGCATCCGACACAGGCACGTGAAAGAAACCAGTTGAAAGGTATAGTCGGCGCAGTGTAGGCAAACTGCAATTTCCTGATTTGCAGTTGACAGATGACAGGGAAAGAAATGTTTCAGGGTGCGATGACGGCTTCAGACAGAAATCGTCTCCAAGGAAAATAATTCAAAGCGTTCCCATCTAAGACTTCTCACTGTAAGGTAGGAATGAGAGGAAGCAGAGAGGAAGCGAGGGGAGTGTGTCAACACATTTGCTTTCAGCTGCGATCACTGTTTCTCACGGTGGTGTTTGGATACAATACAAGCTCCTGCCACCCTCCCTGATTTAAACTAAAGAAAAAATCTCAAGGGTCCACTAACGTAATAGGCACTACTGTCCAGTAATATCTCTATTACACAGCAGGTCCGTGTGAATGAATGTAGACTGGAAGAATGCTCTTTCATCCGAGAGGGAAAACAAAGTCTTAGTCAATGAATCCAAAATAATTAAAGGATACAATGTCAAAGGGAAGTGCTGAACTTTATCAGAGATAGCATGACTACTTCAAGTAGTCATTTCTAAAATACCAGATTGCGAATTAAGATTAGGTCTCTGCTGTTATTTTAATATGTTCCATCTAAAGAATCGGTTGTTGTGGTGCTGTCTTTTACCTAAACAGAAACAGGGGACTTTTGGGAGATTGCGTGCCAGTCACAAACCACCTTGTCGCCGCATATGACGGCAGGCTTGTGGAAATAAAGAGATTCAGCTGGACGTTGCGCTGGAAACACGCGGCTTGTTTTTTATTGTTATCACCTCCGGCCTCTGCAGATACATTCTCTGAAGACGCACGTGGACCAAAACGCATTCACCTGTCAGAGATTTATCTGTGGAAGTGTAAACAGGGATGTCAAACTATGTAAATGTTTGACTCGCCGCTCCAAATAGCGTCGCCGTGAAGAACCACTTAAGAGAGAATGGACAAATGATGTTTTCAGTGTGAAACACAGTCATCACATCCTTTGAAAAACAGTTCTTGTCGTTCTGATTCATATTTTCCATTCATCTTGCCCGCTCCCTTGGAATGGTATCCAGATTAATAGCAAATTAGACTGATTTAAAACATCTGCTAAGTCATGAAAAAATAGAGAAAAAAAAGAAACGCTGTTACGTGTGGTCAGCAGAAAGTCCAAAGTCAGTGTTACACAACAGTTTGTCTTATATATATTATTAAAGGGCAGTAATGTTCTTTTACAGCGACATCCACTTCATTAGGTTCACCAGTTCAACTGCTTGTTGCAAGTAAATAAATAATCAGACAATCACATGGTAGTAACTCAGTGCATTAAATGTGACATTATCAAAACCATCAAAACATTATCTACTGGGATTTTCCCACACAATCATCTCTGGAGTTGACGAAGAATACTCAAAATAAGAGAAATATCCAGTGAAAAGCAGTTCTCTGGGTGGACATATCTTGTCGATGTCAGAGGTCAGAGGAAAATGGCCAGACTAACTCTAATAATTACTCGTTACAACTAAGGTATGCAGAAGAACTGCTCTGAACTCATAGCACATCAAACTTTGCAGCAGATGGGCCACAGGAGCAGAAGGCCACACCAGAAACGAGTCCTGTCAGGTAAGAACATGAAAGTGAGGCAGAAGTTTAACAGAAACATCGTCTGCTCTGACATTTGGATGCTAAGGTCCGAATATGGCATAAACAACATGAAAATCGTGGATCATGGACCATGTCGCAAAGCTCAAACCAGCACAAACTAATATACTGAACATAGCAGTGCACTAAAACAGCCCCCACAGTCACCAGATCTTAATCTAATAGAGCACCTTTGGGATGTTGTGCGCCAGAAGATTCACATTATGAGTGTGAAACTGATAAATCTGGAGCAACTGCATAATCTTATTGTGTCAAAGTGACCAAAATCTCTGAGGAATGTTTCCAGCACCCTGTTGAACCTGTGCCATAAAGAATAAAGGCACTTCTGGGCTGGATCCCACTAAGACAGAAGGGGGTCCAGCCCAGTGAGGTAGTATCCAACAAAGTGGCCTGTGAGTGTATATACGCTCAAATACACAGAGTGGCTATGAGCACAGAAGCTCAATGCTGTTCAATAAAATACTCTAAGATACTAATACTGTACTACACATGAGTGTTTTCATTATCCTCACATTAGGGCAACTTTTTTATTTAATACAGGTTTTATTTTTTTTACAAAAAGAACACAATCCAGTGACATTTTTAACCACTATTCAAGCCAACTTCAGTCAACCATTATCTTGATTTAAAAGTAAATGTCAAATAACAAAACCTCATTAACTTATCTACTTTAATTTACTGCCCAAGCCAAAACAATAATCGTGCTCACACTTATTCAAGACAAAATGATATTTCTGATCTTCCTGAATTAGGACGTGAAGGCTTTTGCGGATGTTCCACAAACCAGGGTGGGTTTGATCTGAGGTTCTGATTTTCGGTTGCCAAGCTTCAATGTTGATATTAATACCACGAGTGTGCTATTTCTGTGAGGCCTGGTCCTTCCAGCTGTGATTATCTTTTTCCTGTGTGATGTCAATCTGCTTCAGGGGAAGAAGCAGTGGTTCCGGAGTGAATAGCATGTGGAAATTACCATTACTTGCTCTGTAGGGCTAAAAGGGATGAGGAAGTGGACATAGTTGTGGCATTTAATATTTGCCCTGTTGTCAGTTTTGCCTTTTACTTTACTTAAGATTTGCTTTGTGAACTGCTAAAGAACATATTTATTTAACCTGTGCACTTGTATAATGACGCTATTAGGAGTAGTGAGCACACAGTAGTGAGAGGCAGATGGTAAAACCCCTGGAAATATAAGGTTACTGCTTGTACACAAGAAATAGTTTAATGCACACCCCAGTGTAAAACCGTAGCTTTGAATACAATAAATAATTCACAACATGTGACCTTTGGAGATAGTGGCAGGTTAGGTTTGTTGGCTTAGGACAGAGCCATGCTGTCTTTATGCTAATCAACAACAAACATAATGTTCATTGTGAAGAATCATGCAAAAACAAGTCTGGATGCATATCATATTCAGTATGCGAGCATTAGCTTTTTCCATGAGCAAAACAAAATCTGGTTTTAATGATCAAACACATACGTTTTAAATTATAAGCTTTAAAAATGATTGCCACTTCCCCCCAAAACAGAAAGCAAACAGGAAATGAAAGAAGGAAAAATACATTAATCAATTATGGCAAATGCACTGAATGCTCAAAAGACTCCTCATCCTCCACTTACTGAGGCCTCGAGTGACCTTTCAGGCCGGCATCTGAAACCAAAATAGGATGTTTTTGTTTAGGATTCTTGGCTGTTTACACCAAAAGAGCACGGAATATGTTCGTTACGAGCCAACACGGTAAGAGGGTTGCAGGTAATCAGTCTGAGGGAGTAAACACTTATTCCCTTCAATGTGTTTGTTTTGCCCTGGAGCTGTTTATTCTTTCCCCTGGAATATTTTTTCCTGATTTTTTCCGTTACTAATCCCTTAATTACTTGTGCGGGCTTCTCCCATACAGAGCATCTCCTTGTCCCTTTGGGGCAGACAGAGGGCACAGTGTTCATCTTTGTGTTTGCCTCCTAGCATGTGTTTGTTTGAGTATAGCTTGTGACAATGATCATTCACAAGACTCCTTATCTATAATGACTAACATAAAAAAGGGATATATTTTGAGCTTGTCTCATTCATAAACTGTTAAATAGATCAAATCTCTTCCAACAGCCCAACACCAACTCTCATTTGTTACCTCTTGACACTGATGAATACTTTAGAAGAGGAAAAACATCAACATAAGTCTCAGGTCTCCTAAATAATCCAGCAGACAAGTTCCATGAGGTGGAGGTCAAGTCCTGCTCAGAATTAGGGTCACTGGTACAAATGTCTCTCTTACTTCC